TATTTGTACCCCTTGCACACGCGTATGCTATAGAAGCGCGATACGGATAGAATGCGCGCGTACACGAGAGACTTCGTCGGCACGCTCGTTTGTTATAAACGCGCAAAAATAATTTTGCGCGTTTGCCGCGCAAAATACACGAAGTCTCCGTGAGAAATGCGCGCTTTCTTTTTTTTATATATTTTCTTTAATAACATTAGCCATTATCATAACAATAAAGACGTATCGATATATATTTTATATATATAGAGATCGTCTAATTAAAAAACGATTACCCTGAACGGTGAATCACTTGGCTCGTGGGTCGATGAAGAACGCAGCTAATTGCGCGTCAACTTGTGAACTGCAGGACACATGAACATCGACATTTCGAACGCACATTGCGGTCCTCGGATACTGTTCCCGGACCACTCCTGGCTGAGGGTCGTATCAATTTAAAAGACTGCTCGGTTTCCTCTCCGATCTCTGTTCGCGTCGTCGTATTATCTCTTTATCCGAGAGACGACGACGACGACGACGACATGAGAGAGGAGAATGAAACGTCGGAGCGTGTTGGATGTAGACGCGGCGGTACGACGCGACGACGCTAGTTATTATATATTTATTTATGTAATATCGTAAACGTCGTCGTCTTTGTCGTCGTCGCGGCATCTCAAAACGCGAAAGCGACGATTCGTTCGTCATACGAACGAATCGTAAACTCACACATAGAACGAACACGCGCGCTGTACGGATAAAAATCGTAATAGCACTACATATATATATATATATATATATATATATATGTATATATGCTGTAGTCGTTACGCGTTTCGAACTTGCGCTGCGATCGTCGTGTCCGAGAGAGAAATTATTTTTTTCGAGATAACGACGTCTGATCGCATATACGCGCTAAACACTAGAGAACGCTTTCGACTAGTAGTAGTATAGCAGCAGCAGCTATACGATTTAGTATTAGCGATCGCGTGTGACATATATATCTGTGTGTGGTGTTGTGTTGTATATTGTTAACCGACCTCAGAGCAGGTGAGACTACCCGCTGAATTTAAGCATATTACTAAGCGGAGGAAAAGAAACTAACTAGGATTCCCTCAGTAGCTGCGAGCGAACAGGGAAAAGCCCAGCACCGAATCCCGCGGTCGATATCGGGCGCCGGGAAATGTGGTGTTAGGGAGGATCCGTTTATCCCGAGGTCGCGCGGCGAGTCCAAGTCCTTCTTGAACGGGGCCACAGCCCATAGAGGGTGCCAGGCCCGTAGTGGCCGCTGCCGATCGCGGGAGGATCTCTCCTCAGAGTCGGGTTGCTTGAGAGTGCAGCCCTAAGTGGGTGGTAAACTCCATCTAAGGCTAAATATGACCACGAGACCGATAGCGAACAAGTACCGTGAGGGAAAGTTGAAAAGCACTTTGAAGAGAGAGTTCAAGAGTACGTGAAACCGTTCAGGGGTAAACCTGAGAAACCCGAAAGGTCGAAAGGGGAAATTCATTCGCGTTTCGGCCGTCGGCGATGAGCGGTCGCGCGACGGACGGCGTTCGCGCGTCGTCCGCGCCTTTCGCTTTTCGATCCGGCGTCGAACGCGTGCACTTTTCCCCTAGTAGGACGTCGCGATCCGTTGGGTGTCGGTCTACGGCTCGCGGTGGAGTCCGTGTACGATCGTTTCGGCGATTCGTGCTCGAACCCGCGATGTTCCGGCCGACTCGCTCGACGGTATACAGATGGCGCGAGGCCGCTACTTCTTCAATTAGCGTCCGACCCACGACAAGCACGTTCGATGCTAAGACGGCGATCGGACCTAGCGCCCGGTTCCGTCCCCGGACGACTGTTGGTCGTGCGGATTTCTCGGACAGACCTCGTTTGAAACGCCGATCTGCGACGCTATAGCTTTGGGTAATTTCAGGACCCGTCTTGAAACACGGACCAAGGAGTCTAGCATGTGCGCGAGTCATTGGGACATAACTAAACCTAAAGGCGCAATGAAAGTAAAGATCCGCCTAGCGCGGATTTAGGGAAGATGGGCGGCACGTCTATAAAGCGGCCGCTCCGCACTCCCGGGGCGTCTCGTTCTCATTACGAGAAGAGGCGCACCAAGAGCGTACACGCTGGGACCCGAAAGATGGTGAACTATGCCTGGTCAGGACGAAGTCAGGGGAAACCCTGATGGAGGTCCGTAGCGATTCTGACGTGCAAATCGATCGTCGGAACTGGGTATAGGGGCGAAAGACTAATCGAACCATCTAGTAGCTGGTTCCCTCCGAAGTTTCCCTCAGGATAGCTGGCGCTCGTCTGTGACGAGTTTCATCCGGTAAAGCGAATGATTAGAGGCATTGGGGTCGAAACGACCTCAACCTATTCTCAAACTTTAAATGGGTGAGATCTCCGGCTTGCTCGAACTAATGAAGCTGCGAGAATCGAATCAGAGTGCCAAGTGGGCCATTTTTGGTAAGCAGAACTGGCGCTGTGGGATGAACCAAACGTCGAGTTAAAGCGCCTAAATCGACGCTTATGGGATACCATGAAAGGCGTTGGTAACTTAAGACAGCAGGACGGTGGCCATGGAAGTCGGAATCCGCCAAGGAGTGTGTAACAACTCACCTGCCGAAGTTACTAGCCCTGAAAATGGATGGCGCTGAAGCGTCGTGCTTATACTCGGCCGTCAGCGGCATGTGCGGTCTCGATCCGCGTAAAAACGGATCGGCCATGAAGCTCTGACGAGTAGGAGGGTCGCGGCGGTGCGCGCAGAAGGGCTGGCCGTGAGGCCGTCTGGAGCCGCCGTCGGTGCAGATCTTGGTGGTAGTAGCAAATACTCCAGCGAGGCCCTGGAGGACTGACGTGGAGAAGGGTTTCGTGTGAACAGCCGTTGCACACGAGTCAGTCGATCCTAAGCCCTAGGCGAAAGCCGATGTTGATGTGGCGTTGTTTTATAAATATATGTATGTATGTGTGTATATATAAAGAACACGCCCGTCGGGCGAAAGGGAATTCGGTTCCTATTCCGAAACCCGGCAGCGGAACCGTACAATAGTCGGGCCCTCGCAAGAGAGTTCGTCGGGGTAACCCAAAAAGACCCGAAGACGCCGTCGGGAGACCAGGGAAGAGTTTTCTTTTCTGCATAAGCATTCGAGTTCCATGGAATCCTCTAGCAGGGAGATATGGTTTGGAATGCGAAGAGCACCGCAGTTGCAGCGGTGTCCTGGTCTTCCCCTCGGACCTTGAAAATTCGGGAGAGGGCCACGTGGAGGTGTCGCGCCGGTTCGTACCCATATCCGCAGCAGGTCTCCAAGGTGAAGAGCCTCTAGTCGATAGAATAATGTAGGTAAGGGAAGTCGGCAAATTGGATCCGTAACTTCGGGATAAGGATTGGCTCTGAGGATCGGGGCGTGTCGGGCTTGGCGAGGAAGCGGGTCGCGGCTGACGTGCCGGGCCTGGGCGAGGTGAAACGTTCTGTCGTATGCGTTCGCGCGTGTGCGGTAGGATTGCGGATCCGAACTCGGTACCGTGCCTTGGCCTCCCGCGGAACCGTCTTGCTGCGAGGCCCAGAGTGCGCTCGCAAGGGCGTTCTGGTGTCCTCTTCGGCCGCCATTCAACGGTCAGCTCAGAACTGGCACGGACCGGGGGAATCCGACTGTCTAATTAAAACAAAGCATTGAGATGGCCCCTGCGGGTGTTGACTCAATGTGATTTCTGCCCAGTGCTCTGAATGTCAACGTGAAGAAATTCAAGCAAGCGCGGGTAAACGGCGGGAGTAACTATGACTCTCTTAAAGGTCAAAGGTTCCTGACCTCCACGCGGTGACTGCTGGGCAACGCTCATCCACCCGCCTTACCTTTGGTTAGGCATTTGAACGAGGATGACGGCTAACTAGGAACCAGCCCCCCGATTACCCGGTCGGGGCCTGTCTGCGGACAGTCATAAGGGGTCGGTATGGAAACCGAGGGCGAGATACAGACCACCTTGTATCTTACCCCTTAGGGGAAGACATGCACTTGGCCCAGCCAGCCAAGCTGCATATGATGAAAGGCTACGACACATAGAAACATAGCCTCGGAAGATCGGGGTGGTGATGGGCCCACACCATCCCAAAATCCTAGACCAGGGGCCCATGATGATGGACATGGCGATGACAAGGACATTGAGATTTTGCTCCCCTATATAGAAAGGTCATGCCCCCTATGCCTCAAAAGAAGCATTAACATCCTGCACATGACCTTAAATGATGAAATAAAACATGTAAAATCTGATCACAAGGATATACAAATCAGATTCAAATGCAGGATGTGCTCAAAAATGTATATAGCAAAACATGCGGCACTGTGTCACGTCCCCAAGTGCCCGGTGGGAGCTGCTGCGGCAGCCCCACCTCCAGAGTCAACAGACTCAGAGACTGACGGAGTACCAAGTAACAGGCCTATACCCGAATCGGTAGGCGTGGCCTGCCCCGATTGCGGCGAAAGGTACTCCGGCCGCGGTGCACTAACACAGCACCAGCGGCACCGGCATCCACTCACCCGAAACGAAGCTAGGGCAGCGGGTACACGGCGGTCTCCTCGACAAAGAAGATTGGTTATCTTTACTGAAGAGGAGGAACAAATAATGATGGAGTGCGAACTCCGGTACCGGGGTGAGTTGCGTATAGCAATGCGCATGCGGGAGTTGATACCAGAGAAAACTTTGAAACAACTCCGGGACAAAAGGGCCCAAAAATGCTACAAAGAACGGCGTGAAAGGTACCTCGCAGAAAGAGGGATCACAGCGAGCGCTAGTACTGATGATGACAGTACAGAACCAGTATCCACAGACACAGGGGATGGTAGAGCTACCGTCCCCAAGAAGAAGCGCCCGAAACCAACAGCTGCGAGGAAGCGGGAGTAGGGGGTGGCTCCCCTATCCCAGTCCCGGAGCTACTCGACGTATCAGCAGTAGCTGCCATTGCAGGGGGTGAAAATAACGTTAATAATATCACCCCCACCGCCGAAAACATAAGTCCGACTCAGACGCCTGACATGTCAGAGAGGGTACTGAATGTCAGTGAAGATGAGTTGGTATCGCCAGCAGCTTCTCCAGAAGAGATACTTTGGAGACAGGATGTTGCTCAGACTGCCCGTAGCTGCAAGTTGACTCGAGCGGCACAGCAACATCTGGAGGTGAACACGGTCACCCAGCTGCTTAGAAATGCAATCTCCGAGGCTTGCGATTTGCCTATGGGGCAGCCCCAATCGCAAATAGATACTTTACATGATAGAGTCACCGCTCTCTTCGTCAGCGAGGAGCGGGGAGTTGCAGGGCGACGAAAGGGAAGGCGTAGAGGACAAAATAAGAGGGGTAACAGACGGTACCTCTACGCCCGTACCCAGGATATTTACAAAAAAGAGCCAGGCATTCTTGCCAAGCACGTCCGTAACAACGTGGACTGGCTGGAGGAACCAGGGGTAAAAGCTCCAGCCCAAGACGTGCGGGACCTGTACAAAAAGCTTTGGGGCACAAATCCGTCGGAAGTACAGGTGCCCTTCCTGGGAGAGCCCTCCGAACCGGCACTTGGGTTAGGTACTGTGCTAACCGCCGTGACGGCGAAAGAGGTGAATACGCGTCTCTCTCGGATGAAAATGTCCACAGCACCGGGTCCCGATGGTATTAAAAAGGGAGACATTAAACGCGTTCCTGGTGCAAACGAAGTCCTCCAGTTATTTTTCAATTTAATCATGATAAGCGGTAAGATTCCTACCGCCTGGAGGAAGAACCGAACTACTTTGATCCCTAAAGAGGGTAAGGACGGTATGTTAGCTGAAAACTACCGTCCAATTACAATCTCTTCTTTAATGTCGAGAATTTACTTTGGCATTATTGACAGCAAACTTAGGGCAAAAGCACGGTTCTCACCCAGACAAAAGGGCTTCATGAACGAATCTGGGTGCTTCAACAACATCCACATCCTCAATGAGCTGCTGAGGCACTCAAAAGCCAAGAATGGCCTGGTCGTAACGCAGCTGGACGTGTCCAAAGCATTTGATACCGTGCCGCACCAAGCTATAGGACACGCGTTACGTCGCAAAGGTTTTCCCGAACAGGTGGTACGTATCGTGGAAAATGCATATGAGGATGTTACCACTATTATAGAACTGAATCAGGCGCCAATCGAGATACGCCTCCAGCGGGGGGTCAAGCAAGGTGACCCCCTCAGCCCATTACTATTTAATCTAGTTTTGGAGCCCTTGCTAGTTAAGCTGGAAACGAGACCTGGGTACAGAATCGACACAGAGACGCAGATATCGTCCTTAGCATTTGCCGACGATCTGCTCCTAGTCGCGCAAACAGTACCACATGCTAAGGACCAGTTAAGTAGCACGGAAGCATACCTATCGAGTCTAGGTATGAAGATTGCTGCCAATAAATGCCGCACCTTCCGTGTAAACCGTACCAAAGACTCCTGGTACTTAACTGACCCAGGCCTCGAACTCGACAGTGGAGAAGTGATACCGGTAGCGGGGGCCGGCGATCACCTTGTCTACCTTGGATGCAAGTTGTCTCCCTGGGTTGGGGTCACAACCGAGGGCATACGAGCCGACCTTGCTTCAACTCTTAGTCGTGTGCAACGACTGAAGTTGAAACCGCATCAAAAGGTAGACTTAATCTCTACTTACATTGTTCCTCATTACCTGTATCAGTTGTCCATAGCGATGCCGGCTATGACACAGATAAAACTGATGGACCAGGAGCTACGGGTAGTGGTGAAGAATATTCTTCACCTGCCGCAGGCAACAACGAACGCCTTACTATACTGCGGTAAGAGGGACGGGGGACTTGCGATCCCGAGGTTGGAGTGGCTCGCCACCTCATCAGCCCTAAAAGCCGGCTTAAAGTTCGTGGACAACCCGACCCGGCAATGCAAGCTCTTGCCACGGGCACTAAGCTCGAGAGTAGAGTGAGGCGACTCGCTCTCGATGCCCGGATAGCTTGGCCAGTTACTGGGGAGCAACTGGCCAGCTATACTAGAACGCAAAAGAAGGCTGAGCTTGCCAGATGGAAGCGCCTTGGTTCTCAAGGAAAGTCGGCAGCGGCCTTCGCCGACTCCAAGATCGGAAACGCATGGCTTAGGGACCCCTCGTTGCTCAAGCCATGTCGTATGATTACAGCCCTCAAGATGAGAACCAACTCATGTGCTGACAGGGCGGCCATGAGCAGAGCGACCAGAATACCGGATCCTACATGCAGGCAATGTGGTTCGCAAATTGAGACATTGGGACACATATTGGGGCAATGTCGTCACACGAAACCACATAGGATTCGAAGGCACGATGAGATCAAAAACCTCATCGTGGAAGAACTTAAAAAGAAAGGCCCAGAGGTGGCAATAACGGTTGAACCGACGGTGGCGGCAACCGGAGGCGGGAATCTCAAACCTGACCTGGTAATACAAAGCCGGGGAAGGGTCTTCGTGGTCGATGTTACAGTCCGCCACGAAGACGGGAATAATCTCGCTCAAGGGTTTACAAGCAAAGTAGAAAAATATAGCCGCTTGCTACCTCAATTCCAGCAGAGGTGGGCAGCTTGCTCTGCTGAAGTCCTACCAGTCGTGGTAGGAACAAGAGGGGCGATGCCCAGGGAGACCATCAAAAATCTAACTAAGTTAGGAATCTCTCAAAATCACGTGCTTTTAACAATGTCGTTAATAGCACTTCGTAGTTCCATCGAAATATACCATGAATTCATGGACTACGACGCCCCTCGGACGCGCCGCGGCGCGCAACACCCCACAGGTGATTCAGCAACTTGTGGGAAAAAACTTCTGGCCATTTTAGCCCTACTGCACTTTATTTTAATTGTGGCGTCTGATTTTATGCTTTGATATTATTATTATATCTATTTATTTATTTATTTATTTATGCATTTTATCTGTGATGTCCAGCTCCGGCTTATTTTAAACATGTTCTCAACTCACCCTATTGGTGACCACCCCTATTGGTGGAGAGTGGGATTGGTGTTGTGCAGTAGGTGCGAGTCGTAAGACGCCTTCCAAGAAAAGGCTAGTCACGGCGGCGGGGTGTGATCTGGATTGAGCTAAGCAATCCATCACCGGCGACAGCCTCTACGAGGCCTTCCCCATCAACTGTTGGGGGTCCGCCCTCACAGAGGGTCCCCCTCAGGCCGATAGTCGCTTTCTATAATCTTGAGAACCCGTTCACCTAATTTTTCCAAAAAAGCCAAAGATCAGGGTTCCGGCAATAAAGTTAGGTTTCTCCTCCCGTGGGAGGACTCTGGCCAGGAGTGCTAGATAGTTGGGCCGAAAGCGAGGTAAATTGAGGAGCGTGCAAAGAAAGACCCTCGGGGTTTCCTGATCTGGGTCTTAGCCGCCCCCACCCATTCGTGTGGTATCGAGGACCGCCTCACACTTAGGAAAGTACTCTCACTGCAGATGAGAGCAGAAATAGCCAAATGCCTCGTCATCTAATTAGTGACGCGCATGAATGGATTAACGAGATTCCCACTGTCCCTACCCACTATCTAGCGAAACCACTGCCAAGGGAACGGGCTTGGAAAAATTAGCGGGGAAAGAAGACCCTGTTGAGCTTGACTCTAGTCTGGCACTGTAAGGAGACATGAGAGGTGTAGCATAAGTGGGAGATGGCAACATCGCCGGTGAAATACCACTACTTTCATCGTTTCTTTACTTACTCGGTAAGGCGAAACGCGTGCGCCGTTCGCTCACGTGGCGGCGGCTGTCACGGTATTCTCGAGCCAAGGGCACGGAGTGGCGTATCGTCGTGCTTCGTGACTTCGTCGGTTCGTACGGACGGTTTACGCCGTTTGTGCTGCCGTCGTTGGTTCTTCG